TTTGAGCTTTATTGGACCCAGCTGGAGGGTTTTGAGCAAGCAGTCAGGGATGCATGGGTGTGTGATGATGCCATTGTGGATCCCTTCAAGAGGTTGGACGTCATGCTTAGGAACATTGTTGCGGCTCTGCAAGCTTGGGGGCAGAGGAAGGCGGGAAATATTAAGATCCAGATGGCGATAGCTAACTATGTCATCCTCCACTTGGACAGAGCCATGGAGGCACATACGCTGACATTGGGGGAGAGGTTGCTACGGACACTTCTTAAAAGGGTGCTGCTTGGTCTGGCTTCGCTACAACGCACGATCGAGAGGTAACGGTCGTGCCTTCGTTGGATTAGGGAGGGTTACGCCAACACCAAAATCTTCCAAGCCATGGCTAATGGTCGGAGATCCAAGAACTTTATCACGCACTTTAGGCATAATGGTGTGCTGATCACGGATCAAGCAAGGAAGGAGGAGGTTTTCATGGAGGCCTATGAACAATTGTTGGGACTTGGGACACTTGACTACGAGGGAGGTTGAGGTGGATCTAGATTTCCTAGACATGGAGGAGCATGAATTATTGGATCTTGACGCTATTTTCACGGAGGAAGAAGTGTGGAACACAATAAGGGAGATGCCCCCGGATAGGGCACCGCGGCCGGACGGGTTCATCAATGCTTTCTATCAAAAGGCTTGGAATATTATTAGCACGACGTGATGGTCGTCTTCCTCAAGCTATATGTGGGCGATGGACATGGATTTGGCAAGCTAAATCGGGCACATGTTGTGCTCATACCAAAAAAGCCGGATGCTGAGGAGGTGGGGGATTTCCAACCGATTAGTCTAACTCATAGCGCGGACAAGATCTTTGCCAAGATGTTAGCTAATCAGGCTCGACAAAGAATGAAGGAGATCGTCACGTCCAACCAATCTGCTTTCATATGCGGGAGACATTTGCATGACAATTTTCTTTTCGTGAGGCAAGTTGCGAGGAAGATCCATGCTCGGAAGGAGGCATGAGTTTTTTCTGATGTTAGACATTTCACGTGCGTTTGACTCACTCGCTTGGCCGTTTCTCTTTGAGGTGATGAGAAGCAAAGGCTTTGGTCAAAAATGGTGCGACTGGATCTCTATCTTACTGAGGACAGCTAGTACTAAAGTGATCATGAATGGGGTGCCTGGGAAAAGCTTCATGCATGTCAAGGGCCTCAGGCAAGGAGATCCCGTCTCGCCTTTACTGTTCATGATTGCCATGGATGTGCTCTTCAAGATCATGAACAAAGCTACTAGCATGGGAGTTGTCGACACTTTTAGGGGTATCGCGGCTCATCAGTCAGTGTCAATTTATGCTGATGATGTGGCATTATTTGTCAAGCCAAGGGAGTTGGATCTTAGTTTCGTCATGGCTATTCTCTAGGTGTTTGGTGCTGCGTCAGGTTTGCGGATGAACTATAATAAATCTTTAGCAATCATGATTCATGTAGATGAGGCGGACAAGAATCGTGTGGCATATTTGCTTCGCTGTCGCTTGGGTAACTTCCCATGTAGATATCTTGGTATGCACTGGCGATCAGATAGCTTACTATAGCGGAATGGCAGCCACTGTTGGATCAAGCAAAGAGTTTTGCTCCGGCATAGCAGAGGGGCCTGTTGCACCGTCCGGGAAGGCTTGTTCTAGTCAAATCGGTGATCGCGGCCAAGCCTATACACCATTTCATGATCGAAGATGCTCCTCTGTGGGTGTTTGAAGAAATTGACCAATGGATGCGAGCTTTCTTTTGGGCTGGCAAAAACAAGGCGAATGGAGGTCAATGTCTCATTGCTTGGAATCTGGTTGTAAGCCAACTTGGCTTGGCGTTCTGGGGGTGAGAGATCTACGGCTCGAAGGACTGGCTTTAAGAGTGCGTTGGAAGTGGTTACAACGGACATACCCGGAGAGGCTGTGGCAAGGACTGCCGATGGCAGTGGATCGGGAAGTCCATGCGGTTTTTGAAAGTCTAGTTCATGTTACAGTTGGGAGAGGGAATAAGGTTTTGTTCTGGAGGGATAGATGGATACATGGCTGGGCTACAATTCAGAAAACTGGCAGCCTGCGACGTCTCTCCTGACAGGTGCGGAGGTTTAGAACCCATCACACAATTCCTCGCGTGCCCCCCGCGTGGCGGCCGGGAGGCTCCCATATCCCATCGCCGCCGGACTACACCTCTCCTCCTCCTCCCTCTCCGCCGCCCAAGGGCACGGCCAGGCGAAGCCTTACCGTTGCCGGCGGCGGAGGGGACTCATGGTCCTCCCGCTCGTGTGGGGCTGGCACGGGCCGGCGCCCCCGGGCCGGAGCGTGGCGCTGGGCCGGATGCCACGACGGGTGGTGGTGGCGCTTCGGCAGTTTCTCTTCCCCCGCGGCAGGCGGCTTCATGGTCTAGTGCGTCGCGGGATTGGTTCGCGGTGGCACAGCCGGATCTGGGTCCAGGCGTGGGCCTTGGTCAATAGATTGCAGTCGGCACGGTGGTGGGTGCGGCTCGTCGGCAGCTGGGCGGATCCGCAGAGATTCTTCCCTTGTCTGGTCCTTGACAGCACGGGCAACTCCGGGGGAAACCCTAGATCTCCTTGGGATCGAGCGATGGCGGTGCTTTTGCGTCGTAACCCCTCTTCAGGCCATCATTTTGGAGCTTACTCTGGTTGAAGGGATCAGCGACGCTGGCGGCGCATGTCTGGTGGAGCAACTGCCGATGAAAATCGCGCCGACTACGGTCATGGCGGATGATGGCGGCGTCTTAGATGCCGTTCCCTTGTCGAGGCATCGCCGTTGCATTTTGCTTCATCAGGCTCGGGATCGGACGATGATGGCGTTGTTAGTAGAGCTTTCCCTCATGGGGGCATCATTTTGGAGCAAGTGATGGCTGGAGGTGACAAGAGTAGGAGCGGTGCTTCATCACACACATTGATGGTGTCGGATCTCGATGGCACGGCGCTTTGGAGATTAGGCGTCTGATGTGCGATGATGGACCCGCGCAGGAGGTCAACGCTGTCTGGCGTCGTGGTGGCGTCGGCGGCAGCTAGATCGGGCAAGGTTCATGCAGCAGTATAGCTCTGAAGATGGATTGGTGGCAGGTGGTTGCGACGACCTCATACCCGGCAGGCGTTCTAGTTGAGGGGCACGCCGTACTGGTGGGTGCCCATGCCCGGCAGGCGTCCTGGTTGGGACCTCAGGTCTTAGATGTTAGGTATGGCTGCGAGGTCTGTTTGGTATTAGGCCCAGACTATCAGCATCCCTTCATCATTTGGATAGGAGTAGCGACACTTTTGTTGCGTAGACGGTGGCTTCAACTTACTGTTGTATGACTTTGTAAGGTCTTATGTGAATAATTAATAAAGTGGCTGCATACATTGTCCAGATGCAGAGGCCAGGGGTCCTCCTTCTTTTCTAAAAAAAGATGGATACATGGCTTCTCGGTAAAAAATATAGCTCCATACATACATGCTCTAGTGGACACACGGATGGTAAACAAAAGGACGGTTCAGGAAGGTCTGGAAAACGGCAGGTGGTTGCTGGATTTGACTGGTGAGCTAAACTTCGGGGGCCATTTGCCACTCTTGCACCTCAATTTGGCGTTGAGCATGGTCATCCGTGACCCTACCAGTGAGGATTCTTTCTCGTGGCCGGCGGATCCATCCGGCAACTACACTGCACGCTCTACTTGTCACCGATCATGCCTCGGAACGGAAAGGGTGCCATATGCTTCATGCATTTGGAGAAGTTGGGCTCTTCTAAAGTGTAAGATATTTGCTTGGCTGGCGGTGCAACATCGTATTTGGACGGTTGATAGGAGAGCGAGGCACGGCCTGCAAGCCCTACCTTCGGCTTGTTATACTTGTCTTCAAGAGGAGGACAATGCGGAACACATATTGGTGCAGTGTGTGTACGCTAGAGAAGTGTGGCACAACATCTTTGAGGCCTTGGGTTTGCAGGGCAACATCCCGGAGGTTCAAGATCACTTGTTGGATAGGTGGCTCGAGCAGCGACAAAACTTAAGGAGGGGATGGAAGCGTGGCTTTGACACTCGTCATCGCAGCAACTTGGGCCATCTGGAAGCAACGTAACGCGAGATTTTTCCACAGGATTAACCAGCAATTACAAGCGCCTGAATGGGCTCGTGCTATCTTGGCGGAATTGAAGGAGTGGAGGGCGGCAAGATTGGGTGAAGGAGGTTTTAGCTTGTTCTGTGAGAATGTAGGCTTAGTCTAAGTGTGGATGTTATGGGTGGTGCCTAAGATGGAGGTTTGTTTTAACTTTAGGCTTCTTGTATATTGTCATTCTCCCTTCTATGAAATTAAAGGTACGCTATTGATGTACTCTCGAAAAAAAAATCGTTTGAAAATACAAGGCCGGCCAGCTTGAGCTTGATTATCAATCCTCGAACATGGCAAAGCTGCAACCGGGCATACAGGAGGGGCTGGACTCCGCGTGTGACCATGATGTGCCACGACTTTCACCGAATAATCGGTCGTCGCCTCTAGAAAATGTTCCATGCTGCACCCTTGTGGTGGCACCTCCGCTGTCTACTTCTTCGCATCTTTTTCAGTGGAAACAGTTCAGGTCTCCGTATCTTCCATCGACATTCCCCTTGCACCTGCCGCTCGGTACGTGCCTGGTCGCTCAACTGCCACTTTGCCCCCGCCGGTCCGCGCACGCTGCGTTCATATCCTTCACCATGTCGACGGCCGGCCAATGATCGATTCTAGAGACTGCCAACTCGTGTTACTTCCTGATCGAGGTGTTCTGGTGGCTAAGATTGAATTCGGAAGTTCGGACTAGTAGTTTGACAAAGCTACTAGTGGCGTCTAGCGGCGCACACGCGACGAGAGTGGCCGACACGGCAAGCAACTGCACATTTCATTGCTGGTCAGTAGGTCTTTACCCAACTACTAGTACTAGTCTGGCATACGTCGAAGAATTAGTTGTACTCTCTGTATACCATATCAATCTCGTTCAATTATGATGCTCACACCGAACAAATTAATCAATGAAAGAACCGATCTACTGAGATACAGTACTAGTACGTACTATATGGAAAATATAGCAAGATATGTACTACACCAATCGATGGCCGGCTCGATCGACCTCTACACTCCACTGGCTGACAGGCAGGAGGTACGTGTGTACGTATCACCAACCAGCCGAGCATAAGCAATCCAAAAGAATACACACCGACGGGACGGGACACGCGATTCACTCATCAACTGGTTGATGATTGAAAAATTCTTTGATGATTTAAACTATGCCGGGATCATTAGCCTCGGCTTCTTGAACGCCAGCGGGCTGAGCACCTCCTCCTCGTCGGCCGGCGCCGGCATGCACCGCTCGCGCTCGGTGACGATGTCCGGCATCGCCGGCAGGTTCAGGTCGAACCCTCGGCTCGCGACCGCGGAGGCGCCGATGGGGCCCTCGTAGTGGCACCGCTTGTGCCCGCCCAGCGCCTGCCCAGTCGGGAAGGTCTTCTTGCACACGGAGCACTCGTGCACCTTGCCACCTCCGCCCGCGCCCGCACCCGCGCCGCTGGACGTCGTTGACGAGGACGCGGCGGGCGAGGCTGCCGTCGTGGCAGCGGGCTCGTCCGCGCCGGCGGGCGCCGGCTTCGGACGGTGGCTCGCCGTGTGCCCGCCCAGGGCCTGGTAGGACGAGAAGGCCTTGCCGCACACGGAGCAGCGGTGCTCCTGCGCCGGCTCGGACGAGCCAAGCAGGTGCCGGTCGCGGTGACCGCGCGCCAGCATGAGGAGGCTGAGCGCGAGGTGCTCCTCCTCGCTGGGCGCGCGCTGCCGCTGCCGCCTCGGGCGCCTCCGCTTGCCCCACCCCTCGTCGCACCGCAGCTGCCCCTCCTCCTCCTCGCTCACCGCCGGCGATGGCATCGCCGCCGCGTCGCGAACCGCGTCCACCGCCATGCACGCACGTACGCCGATCTGACACACGCAAGAACGTGCGTTGCTGATTCCCTCTGGCACGAAGGAGGAGTGGTGGGCAGTAGTTAGCTAGTGGTTCGGGAAGTGAGGCGAGGGAGGGAAGTAGCTACTGGCTAGTGTGTGATGGAGCAGTGGTGACTGGGTGGAGAGGGCGGGGCAACCAGTGGTGGTTTTATACAGGGGAGAGGGGTGAGCGAGTAGTGGTAGGGAAGTCGTTGGTGGTGATGCAGTGGTTTGTTGGTGTGTGTATGTGTGTGTTAGAGAGAGACCGAGTGAGGAAGCGGTGGTTGGTTCTTTGGGACTAAGCAATGGGAGGGAGGAAGAGTTAGCTGTAAGAGCATTTGGTCAACTAGAAAGCAGGGACGAGGAGGCTTCCAAGTGGTGGAAAAAGAATAGGGGGGGATGACTTTGATTATGATGATGATTCGGCTGCTTTCGGGGTCCAGAACTTGATAAGAATCACGGTCAGTGAAGAAGAGTAAGTGAGAGCGGACTTGTTCTCTACCCGGTCGTGGAAAGGAGAACTTGATAAGATTCACGGTCATTGAAGAAGAGTAGAGGATATTTTTCTTTTTTTGAGAGAATGGAACTTGGATCAATAATCAACCACTCTTTAAAGAGTGTACTTTCAACTTCGTTTTTTTCATGATAATACGTGTCTCATCTATATCATAAGTATCATAGTACAAGTCATGTAACCGACCTCGCAAAACTGAAAAGACAGCAAAAAGCTAGCCTTTGCACAAAGGAATAACAACCAAGAACTAAATTTACAATCAAGATTGAAGAAAACTCTGAACTTGACACCAACACCCGTCACCTGCCTCTGAAACCACGACAGTAGCCACCAAAGGGAAAAATGACGGATCACCTTCACACCCGAGCTCGTAGCGGCTCCATCGCTGATATGCAGCTTTGCGGACCTCCAAGGTGGCTCAGCAAAGGTAAAACCATTACCGTTGAGCGAATCAGACCGGGGCAACACCCCGGACACCCCATCAAGCTCCAGATCTGGCACCCCCACACGACTAGAACGCCGGAGGAGAAAACCACATCTGCCATCCACGAACCGCGAACCCAACACACGATCCACCATCCTCCAGATGCCGCCGATGCAGACCACAATCTGCATCCGCTCCTGGACTATCTCCCAAGCTCCGCGCCGGCGCTGGAGAAAACGTCGTCGCAACGGCGGAGCCCGAGGACACAGGTCCACCACAAGGATGTCGCCGCCGCCACACAATCCTTGCTTGAACAGACTGATTGTCAAATCCATCCCCAACCATAGGACCGATCGCCTTGTTGGAGTAGGATCCGAAGAAACTTTATTCAGCGCCGCCATCGCCGCAGCCGAAGCCAAGACGATGAGCGGCCTAAAATCCTAATCTACAAGAGAAAAAACGATCCACACGCGTGGATCCGGCGACCCCCCTCACCACCGACGACCGAGGCCGCCGACGGAGGGGAGCCGCCGGACGGCGGCGGCGGGGAAGACTCCTGGCGACGAGGTCGCCTTTTCTTTCTTCTGGCGGAAGAAAGAAACGCGAAGTTTAGAGATCTGCCACGCGCACGCTCTCGCTCACGCACACTTTCAACTTTGTTGGAAAGTCAAGCTTTTTTATGTTTGACCGTATTTTTATGATAATACATCAATATTTATGTCACCAAATTAATAGCATTAAATTCATAATAAAATATACTTTTGACATATATCTATTTGGTTTCACAAATATTGATATATTTTTACACAAACTTCATCAAATTTTGAGATAGTTTGACACTCCAACAAAATTAAAAGTACACTGACGAGGAAGTACTTACGGTAATGGAAGCGGGGTGGTGTGCCAAATGGATGGTTGATTACGCTGTGATGTCACGGGGTGAGAGAAGGAAGCATCTGGTGCGTTGGGCCACGAGGTGCCTCCGCTTTAAACAAACGTCGCGCTGCGTTCGATCACGATCACTCTGAAATGGACTGGTTAATTACGCTTTTTCTGCGATGAGAATCCTCCGCACACCAATCTCGGCAGCGCTAGATCGAGCAACCTTTTTCGGTCCACCGATAACGCTAGGTATACTGTCAAGCTACTTCACCGCCGTGAAGGAACATCTTCTCGCCACAACACAGCTGTAGGAGCTGGCGCATTTCCCTTTTCTGAATGTAACAATACAGCATCCATCCTCAAAAAATAAAAGAAAAAAAACACCATCCGTCATGGAGAAAATGAACTCTCGGATAATCGGATTTTATTGGGCTGAAGAGGACGTGACTAATGGAGAAATTGCTAATTAAGGTCGGCCACTTAGGAAGTGACAAGCTAGTGAGTGGAGTACGTCGTCGTATGCTCGTTCGTGGTCGACGGCTTTGTGTTGTGCGTGCGCGGGAGCCGCCGCGTGGAAGGGAGAGCTCGGGCCGGACATCACTTGGGAGGCGGTGGGCACTCACATGGCGACCGTGTCCGGTTCGACGGTTCTCCATCTGGGAGCTGCAGAGGAAAGGCAGCCAGCCACAGAGATCCCAAGACTTTCTGGAAAGAGTAGATGAGCAGAGCAGCTCACACTTCTCCTGAACCGCCGCAGCAAGCTGGGATTGGCTGGCGCCACGTGTATTCTCACCGTTTCCCGGCGGCGTACGTCAGTAGCGCATGTCATCCCTTACAACTGTCAGCGTTTTGCCAGAAATTGATAAAAAAGAAAAAAAAACACGGCAATGAGTTGTAGCTGTTCAAACCGGGTCTCTCAATTGAATTCGACTCGTATAGTCTGTGTGTATGTCTGTCATCAGGCTAGTCGTATATCATCGCGGGAAATCGTTAGGTCAGTAGGTGATACAGTAGTTGGTTATTGGTTGGTAGTATATCCGAGCGGCCGATCGACTTGTGTGCAGCACGCGTGATCGGTAGCACTGTAGAATAAGGTACGCATGCACCACAAATATGTACGTACATCGACTGTGGAATTAATGGTGAACATACAAATCGAACCAGACAAGCACATATGCTAACAAGAATAAAGGTGTCCACCTTTTTTCGTTACGGAAAGTTAGGCGTACTCTTAAAAGCCAAGAAGGTATACTTTCCATATAAAGCAAAATTCGATTAAACTGCGGCCGGCCAAACACGGTAGATATATGCATGCGTGACTGTGCTGTGCATGCGAGTTGGTTCGCCCGCCACAAAAATTGCTCGAGGTAAAACGCTGCTTGCTTTGTGACGGGCGGTTGCCTCCAGGTTCTCCGGGCACATGGATTCGTGGAATCAGCGGACTGACCGGGGTTAGCGCACATGCGTGTATGTTTCTACGCGGTGCGACGGTGGGCATATGCACCGCCCCGCGAGCTTTGCATGCATGCTGCAGTTGGCACCAACGCGTACGTGAATGGCGGGAAATTCGCTATGCCAATGTAGTAGGGAGATACTCCAAGGAATAAATCTTTTTAAGGCTGAACAGTGCAATCTAGTTTTTTTAGGCAAAACAGTGTAACCTAGTTTTTTTAGGAGTAAACCAAGTTTTTATTCAGCAAATACCACATATTGTGGGATACAAAGTGTGATCATGGGATTGGCCAAGCCGAATGTGATGCCCCAGACTTAAAGAGTGGGTTTGATGAGCCAAGTTGGGCCTTGAATAGCATAATTGTTTTAGATTCCTTATTTTTTCATAGCATTGTCTAAAAAAAATATTGTTGCATAGCATTGCCCCAAAAAAGTATTGTTGTATAGCATAGGTGGACCTTTTGATCATCTAGAAAAAAGTGGACCTTTTGAAGAACTTGGCATCTCTCATTAAAAAAAAACTAAATTTGTCTAAATTTTAGTCATGTTAGCTTTGAAAATACAAAGGCGAACATGTTTCCACGTGCACCCACATGAATAATAAATTCAGAAAAAAATACTCCAATATTTTAAAAAATTCTAAAATTTCGGGGTATAAAACTTAATCGATTAATCTACGCATGTGTGAAGTTTTCATGATGTATTGGCACTATACCTGGCCATGGGCCGAGCCTAAAAAAGCCCACGACAAAAAACTGAGGCCTAGGCCCTACTGCCGGGCCTATTTTTCAAGCCCAAGCCTAGCCCATTTGGTAAAAAGCCCTTATGGCTTAGGGCCGTGGGCCCAGCCTCTTCCTTAAAATGCCAATATGCCAAGCCCAAGCCCGTCCACGCCCTGCTGGTGGGATCAAAACTCAAGCCCAAGCCCGGCCCACGAGCAAGCCCATCAGGCCTAGGCCCTGGATTTTATGGCCGTGCCTGGGTGGGCCGACTGCGCCGGGCCGGAGATGGCCAGGACTAATTGGCACCCATGATATTCTTAGTGAGAAAAATACAATTGGGACCATACTATTCATCAAACAATATTTTTTAATATAACTTCGATTTTGTCATTTTTTCCTAGATTACCGCAGATGTGATTTCTTCGTGAAACTTCATACACGAGTATACCATTGACTATGTATATTACAAATTAAAAAATCGGTGTTTATATTTTTTTTCAAGTATTTTTTTTTTGAAATTTTACTATTCATAAAAGGGTGCGCGTGGAACCATGTTCATCAAATCAACGTCATGTTAACTTCCACTATGAACCTCGTACTTGTACTAAAGTTGCCCATGCTCTTGGAGCTTTGGGTTGTAATTGGCATGAACCCAGTCGCTTGTGGCCTGAGGGTGCACCTGATGATGTGCTGATGATTCTGGCCAACGATTTGGCTGTTGGAAATATGAGCAATTTACCATATGATTTTATTAATGAAAATACTAGATAAAGCATGACTAAAATAGCGGAGATAAAACAAGTCACGCAATCTGACAGAAAGAAAGTAAATAACATCTGCAAATATGAACTAGAACCGAAGATATCTAGAGCAGAAAGTAGAACAAGAAACTGTGACAAGACCTATAACAGAAAAAGCAAGAACACGTACGGGACAACAGCAACAACAGTAGCACTAGACATGGGGTCGGTGTCCTAGGTAGCCA